CACAAAAGTGAGCCCCTGAGGGAGATTGTATCAATAAGGAAGTTCCGGAGCGGAGACGCTTTATATTTCTCGCTCACCACCAATACAAGACTGGATGTATTTGTTAATCACGAAAGGAGACATCTTATGCATTTCGCCCGAAGGACTAGAGATGACTAGGAAACGGGGACTATTGTTATGATTTTTTTTATTTGCATCTGTCCGTAATTTTTTGCAGAATTTAGAACTAGATAAGTGACTGGTTTAGTAGTAGACTTTTCAGAACTAGGTTGAATGATGGTTATTAGTAGGTGGTTCAGAGCTAGGTTGAGTGACTGGTTTAGTAGTGGACGTTTCAGAACTAGGTTTGAGAGACTGGAGTGACTTCGAAGTCTTTGATCAGAAAAATTGAGAATTAGCCATATTGAAATAAGAAAAGATTCGGGTCGACGGCCCGCCCACCACGGAGCCCAACAAGGAAAACAGATTCCTGTGTTAGGGTAGCCGGACCTATACGCAAACTGAAGCCCCACAGTCGGCTTTCCCGAAAAGCAGGTACTCCCGAGAGCTTGACCCCAAGCCACTGACACAAGGACTAGTGACCAGCGATGACACCCGTGAGGACGACTAGGTGCCTCCCCTTTAGCTGAAGCAGAGGCCAAGCAGTGTGTTGGGGACAGTACCTCGCCCCTCACACCAGGACCTCCTTTCCAGCGACACGGGTCTCCGCACGGCAACACACTGGGCAGTTTTCCGCCACTCGAGAACTAGGAGAAGGTCTGTTCCAGCCTCTCGTGACAAGCCCCAAACTCCGTAGAGAGAAACCACAAGGAGAAGGGAAGGGAAAAAGATCCAGCCAAGAGGAGAGGAGACGGAAAAGAGGATAGATCACGGGCTCCAGGATCGTGACACCGTCTCACCAAGAAGATGATCCCCTGAAGGGCTAGGGTACCTCGGATTGCCACACCCTACTCATAAAAGTGAGCCCGAGGGCAATTACCGAAGGGTGAGTGAGTGAGTGAGTGAGTGATTATGGCGCAAAACCAGAGATGATTATGACGCGCCAAAAAAAGATGAGATGATTACAATTGATGACATTAAATTCAATAAATAAAACCAAGTAGATAAATGTACCAAATCCAGAGGATGAAGTCATATAAAAACAAGTTTAAAAGCACATGTTAACATTCAAGGACACAGTCTTCAAAACAAATTACATTTGTAATAAAAGCCAATCTCTTTTAAATAATAAAATAAATTAGAATTGACCTCTCTTCCGATTAAACGGTCGAGAGGTAAGTCACAGCTATTAAAATATTTCTGGCGAGACTATTAAAACATGACACTCAATTAAAATATGACGAACAGATAAACAAACATTACAATTAAAACAAACAGGCTCATTTTCAGCTTTAAGAAGATAGCTAGTGTGACTCTGGTATGACCAATTTGAGTCGAGTCAAAAGTAGTCCTCTTTACGATTTCCAGCAAAATCCAATGCTCAATTCTAGGTTTGATGTTTCTCAACTTGTTGTGATGCTGAAGATCCCAAATTTGCTGCCATTTTTTCGTATCTTTCCCTTGATGACACAGCAGATGTCTCTAAAAGGGATAAGGCGACTGGACAGTTCGACAGCAGATTTTTGCCGCGATGTCTGCAAGCTCGTTTCCCTTTATTCCAGTATGCCCGGGAACCCAGCAGTACAGGATTTCATATCCTCGTATCATTAAATTTCTATGAATTTTGAGAACATCCACTACCACAGGATTCTGAGCGTTGGGAAAAGCTTCCAAGGATTTAAGAGCACTATACGAGTCTGTGTAAACTATGAACTTTTTGTGGCAGAGCTTTGAGATGTACAAAAGAGCATAATATATTGCAGTTAGTTCAGATGTTAGGACAGAGAAAGCATGGTGCAGGCATCTGCCCTCTATGTAATTTTCAAATACAAAAGCCATCCCGACATGATCATTTGTCTTTGATCCATCTGTGTATATCGGATAATAACTGCTATATTTGTGCCTGTGCTCAGCGAAAATTTGTCTGTAAACGATCTCGTTAGTGCTCGCCTTTACGTGACAATTACCGAAGGAAAATCTAACTATATACCGGTCTACTATATTGAAGCTCCTCGTACAGAGGAAGGCAAAAAACTCATGCACATTGAAAAAATTATCGGTCTCTGGGTAAGAGTAATCAAATATAATTCCAAACCAGGGTCCACTCAATGCTATAATTGCCAGCGCTATAATCATACGCAGCGAGCGTGTCATAATGAACCTCGCTGTGTACGCTGTGCACAAAATCATAGATCTCATCTCTGTCCTTTTAAGGGCACTCAAAATTATGATGCTGTATGTGCCCTTTGTCATGGACCGCATCCAGCATCTTCCATAACTTGCCCCAGAAGACCAGGAAATAATCAACAAAATAGCACTAATACTGCAAATCCTATCACTATCAACTATTCTGCTATGAAAAATATTGAAGCAAATCCTACTCGATCAAATAACCAGGTCAATGCACCTCAAACAGAAAATAAACCACGTGATTCAACGGACCAATCAGGAAATGTCAACACATATTCAGCTGCTCTAAAGAAAACAACTAAACAGCAGCAAAATAAGCAGAATAATAATCCCACTCCTAAAAATAATGAATGCAATAGACCAACAGGCACCCGTGAACGCACGGAAGAAAATCTAAATCAATTTATAATGTTTATGTCGTCTATTTACGAATTATATGATGATTTTTGCAAAGCATCTAATACTACCGAAAAAATGATGGTTGCTTTCGAAGCATTAAAGATATATGATTCTATCAATCAAGATCAATAACAGCAATAGACTCAATTACTCTAAAATAGCATTTTACAACTGCAATGGTATTATTAGGCAACATCTACAAATAAATCAATTCATCAATAATAAAAACCTGGACTTCATGTTATTAAATGAAACTCACTTAAAGCCAAATAAAAAATTTAAAATAGCAAACTACACTGTTTATAGAAAAGACAGACTTCATAATATTGGTGGAGGAACTGCTATAATTGCGAAAAATTCTATAAAACATACTGAATTCCTCCTGCCTGATTTCAATAGCATTGAAGCTTCGCATGCCTTGCCTAGAGCAATTATCATACACCCTATCTAATAGTTTCTGTTTACAAACCTCCTATGAAAATACTCAACACTGCTGAAATCGAATATATTTGTAACCTTGGATATCCTACAATCATTGCAGGTGATCTAAATTGTAAGCATCCTGCTTGGAACTCTAAATTCACTAATAGCAATGGTATCAGACTTTATAATCTCATGCAAAACTCCACTATCAATATCCTGGCTACTACAGATCCTACCCATATTATTTCTCATCATAACCATACCCCAGATGTTCTGGACATCCTTATTACCTGCAATATTCCGCAAATTCCTGAACTTGTCAACTTAAAAGAGCTTGACTCTGACCACAATCCTATCATGTTCACACTCTATAATTTCATTCACTATATGCCGCCAAACCCCACCAAAGTCAGTTGGGTGGACTTCAAATATATCCTTGATAATAATATTAATGCTACTACCAAAATGACCACCAACAAATTAATAGAAGAAGCTACTGAAAAACTTAATAATAAAATTATAGAAGCCATCAATAAAGCTACCCTTAATGCAGAGAAACAAGACTACTCACTTCCACATAATATCAAGGAAGAAATCAAAAACAAAAATAGGCTCAGAAAAATTTGGCAGAGAACCAGAAATCCTAGAGATAACATCAATTATAAAAGAGCTTATTATAGGGTACAAAAGCTCTGTCATGATCATAAAGAAGACAGATGGAATACCTATGTTGAACATCTTTCTCATACTGATCACTCTGTATGGAAACTTGCAAGAAAGTTAAGAAATCCGTATAATAAAATTGGTCCAATAGAACACAACAATAAAACTATTCATCATCCTGCAGATATAGCAAATGCCTTTGCTGATACCTTTGAAGAGCAATTCCAAATTAATAATATCTCACACCCTACTGATGATAATATTGAAGAGCAAGTTAAAAACTTCATTCATTCCAATAGGAGTAAAGCAAACATACCTACCAGTCCCACTGAAGTTAATCAAATTATTAAATCTCTCAATAGCAAGAAAGCCTGTGGCTATGATAACATTACTAACAACGCAATTAAAAATCTTCCCAAAAAAGCTGTCATATATCTTGTCAACTTATTCAATGCTTGCCTTCGCAATAATTATATTCCACAGACCTGGAAGATTGCCACTATCATTGTCATCAAAAAACCTGGAAAAGAAAACAAATTTACTTCTAGCTATAGACCTATTTCTCTTCTTCCCTCCATTTCAAAAATTTTCGAAAAAATCATACAAAAAAGATTATATCAGTATGCTCAAGATAATAGTATCCTCTCACCATATCAATTTGGCTTTCGTAAAAAATACTCTACCATTCATCAGGTCTCCCGCATTGTGGAAAAGATTGGAGAAGCCTTTAATAAAAAGAAACTGTTGCAGCCCTATTCCTGGATGTTGAAAAGGCTTTTGATAAAGTCTGGCATACCGGATTAATATACAAATTAATTCACTACAATTTTCCTCCTGAAATCATCAATCTTATTTATAGCTATTTGAGCAATAGGTTTTTTCAAGTCAAAATCAATAATGAATATTCTACTCGCAGAAAAATTATGGCGGGGGTACCTCAAGGAGGAAATTTGGCTCCCTTCCTCTATTTAATATATGTCAATGACTTCCCTAAACATCCTGGTACAGAAATTGCTCAATACGCTGATGACACAGCATATTTTCTATTTCTATAAACTCCAAACATGCTCAGCATAAACTTCAACAAGCTGTAAACAATATGCAAAACTGGCTTCAAAACTGGAAAATTAAAATTAACCCTAATAAAAGTATCAACATTATCTTTAAAAGAAGCAATAAAAACCCTGTCTGTGATCCTCTGCAAATCAATAATAGTCCTGTTATCAGAGCCAACACTGTTAAATATCTAGGCATCACTCTGGATGTGAAACTTAATTTCAAAGACCATATCTCATGTATTTGTGAAAATACCAGAAAAGCTTACTTAAGCATTTACTCCATTATTAATCATCATTCTAAACTTAGCCTTCAAACCAAGCGCATTATTTATCTACAATTAATTCGACCTGTCATGATGTATGGCTCCCCAGTTTGGGCGGCTGCTGCCAAAAGTAATAGAAAACCACTGCAAGTTTTACAGAATAAAATTATTAGGATCATCACTGGAGCTCCATGGTTTGTTCGCAATATCATACTTCACAATGACCTCAAAATTAATACTATTGATGAAAAATACTCAGAAGTGTTCATAAATTCTATGAAAACCTTTCTGCCCATCATTCGTCTATTATACAAAATATTGGAAATTATGATTTTAACAATAGACCAGCCTTATAAACGACCGCGCACCATTCATCATAATGTTCAGTGGTAGATTGCTTAAATTGTATATATTTTTTCAACTTTAGCTTTATATTTGGCTGAATGTAAAGCATTTGTTTTTTACATCTATTTACTCAAGAATTTGTACTTATAATCAAGATATCCTATTGGTCCAGGAGGACACACCTTTATATGCAAGATTTTTATTTACTACTTACCTTCTATGCATCAGAATTTGTTTCTATTATTTATCTCAAGTATTTTACTCCTTTTCATACTACAAAAATGTTACGGCACCTGTATATAGACTTTATTATTTAAAAAATGCGCAAATTATGTAATTCTACAGTTCTTCTCGACTCACCAATCAACATCATGGGATAGGCCACGTGACTTACAATTCAACTAGATGTTTTTTAACTCAGTTCTAGTTCATTCTCTCGCACCTAGATGGTGCCACCTCTGGTACTTTTCGTCATTTCTTATATCAATTATTTTTACCATTACTATTATACGCCTTTTTGGATATACACTACACCACTCTTAAAGCCTTAAATGGATAGATTAAATAATCGAGTAATGCACTTTCATTAGTACGGGACTTGAAAGAAATGTTATGACCTGATCTGACCTTGACGGAGCATTTGGCCAAAGAATCTCCAAGAAGAGAGATTAGAGATTCTATGATTTGGCGTTTTTTTTTTCTCGCGTTAGTTTACCTGTTAATTAGCGGGTGTGATGTGTGTATTTCTTAGCGCCATTTTTCTTCCTTCACTTGATCTACACAGTCCAGTCACATTAATGTGACCACCACGTACTTTCCATGTCAGAGTTAAATAACCAATCACAGAAGGCAGGTGGCAGCACAGTGCAGTTGAGCGTATATAAAGGGTGTGTGAGGGCTTCGGAAAACATTTCAATCGTTGGCGTAATGCAGAAACGAAGCGATTTATCCGACTTCCAAAAGGGCATGATCATTGGCTTTCGGGCCAAGGGTGGAAGCATTTCCGAAACGGCTGAGTTTGTGGAACAGTTCGCGTGCCGCCGTGGTAAAAGTGTACCGTTCATGGCAAAATGGGACTGTGCAAAATCAGCGACGTGGCAAAGTGGTGCACCACGGGCCATAGATGACAGAGGCGAACGACGGTTGCGGAGATGCGTTCGGGCAGATAGACGGGCTACCGTTGAGCAACTGACCACCAAAATGAACCACGGGGCTACCAAACGTGTCTCCCAAGTACTATTCAGCGAACATTGCTGCGTCTGGGCCTCCGAAGCAGACGCCTGGTTCGTGCACCTATGCTGACTACTGTTCATCGACGGCGAAGGCTAGAATTTGCACGCCAGTCAGCAGCTGGACGTCCCACTGAGTGGCGACAGGTTGCGTTTTCGGATGAATCGCGTTTTATGCTCCATCGGACAGATGGACGTTGGCGTTATAAGGCGTGAAACCTCTGAAAGGAACCACCCTGCAATATTGCCGGAACGGTCCAAGCTGGAGGCGGGAGCATTATGGTCTGGGGAATGTTTTCCTGGCATTCTCTAGGTCACTGATCATTGTGGAAGGCACAATGGATCACTACAAGTACGCATCTGTCCTTGCGGACCATGTTCAACCCCTACATGCGCAATGTTTTTTCCTCAGGATGATGGTATCTTTCCAGCAGGACAATGCGAGGTGCCATACAGCTGCCAGTGTACGTGCGTGGTTCAAAGAGCACCAGGATGAGTTTACCGTCCTCCCCTGGCCAGCAAACTCACCTGACTTACACCCAATCGAGCATCTGTGGGACCATCTCGATCGAGTTGTTCGCGCCATTGATCCTCAACCGTATTAGCGCACGGCAGGCATTGGTCGCATGGCTCAAATCCCAGAAACCCTCGGACTATTGACTCCTTCTGACTGTCGCAGATCCGCTCTCGAAGGGTTATTCTGGCTGTGCGCCATTTTACTGACTTGTTTTACTCTTTCGGATTAATAATTATTTGTATTTTGTTATATTTATGATTAGTGTTTGATTTGTATTTCATTTAATTTATAGTTGCATTTTACTTACAGCATATTTAATTATTACGAAATTATTGATCTGTGTTTCGATTTGTATCAATTTGTAGTTTGTTTTGCCGATATGCAACCAAAAAAGATTAAATTGTTTATACTAATTGTAGATTCAATGGTTAAATATTTGGATGAATATTTACCGGCGAATCTTCTGAATTATGAAATAGATTTGCATTCTTTTCCTGGTGCAACGATAGAAAGGTTAAAACGCAAGATATCCTTTTTGGACAATCGATACCATTTGATTTTGGTACATGTTGGTACCAACAATTCGAATGACAGTGTTGAAGATATTCTTTTAAAAGTACGATTGCCTCTTTAAGGATATTAAACGTTTGAACCCGAATATCAATGTTATCATTTCAGATATCCTACCACGTGGTGAAGATTTTTTCACAACTTTAAATCAGCGAGTAGCAGCTTTGAACCGTTTACAGGTAATTAATAGAAAGATTGTAGAAATTAATTCTCAACTTGAAAAGTACTGCCAAAATCGAGAAGCGTTTTTTTTTTTTTTTTTTTTTTTTTGTTTTGCAGGTCGTCTCATCATTTTGGAGCTAAGTTATTGGCTAGGGATGGATTACATCTAAACCGTCTGGGGAACAAGAAACTTGCGGCAGTTTTCCTGGATAATATCAAGATTGTTTTGACTTCAAAGCCAGTTTCTACAAAGGTAAGTCCTTTTGTATTGCCTTGTGTTTCATTTACTACATTGGATTTTCCACCTCTGAGTGATTCTTTTGTTTCTGCAAGCCCTTCTTATCCTCTCTATTCAACTGTTTTAAAGCATGGTTGTGCTGTAGATGCTACTAAGAAGGCTAATTCTGATTTGAGAAATGCTGCTAAAGTTGCTTCTGGCTCTCGGCTGAAGAGTGGTTGCTATTTCTGGTGCTGGATCTCGTTTTAAATGTGTTGTCCATGGTGGTGACTCTCATTCAAGGAATGCTGTTAACCACACAGATGGTTTTAGTTTGCATCTGCAAAATGATACCACCCCTGGCTCACATCCGAAAAACGTTGCCAACCCAGAAACCTCTCTCGGTCTCTTTGCATTGCTGGCCATGGTGGTGGATCTCGCCAAAGGAACGCTTCTGTCCATAGAACTGGTTCTGGTTTGCATGTGAGGAACGAGACTAAACCTGGATGTCATCCTAGAAATGTTGTTAGGGGGGTGATTATTTGATGTAATCATAAACGCATATTATACAAAATTTTAGAAAGTGATGGTGAATATATTTTTGCTGATTCCTCGATTATGCAGCTTATCTTATCTGGTGCATTATCACTAACCGTCTAATTGATTCTGATTGGGTTCTGATCGTAGCAGATTTAAAGAAAAATACCTTTTATTTATATGACTCTTTAATAAATATATGTAATCTGATAGTATTTGTTTATAAAGCATAATTTTAAGTTTTAATATTTTGGCAACATTGATATTAAATTGTAAAAAGAATAAGTTAAAAATGTATCTGGAAGAGAGAGTTTTTGATTATTATGGTTTGGTAGAATGTGGTAAGAATTTTTATGTCTGATTTTCTTTAATAAAGTTTTCTTTTTGTATATTGCCATAATGTATTTTTGTTAGAAGTGGATGATTCTTTTGAGAATGTTATATATATGCCAATCTTAAATAACCAACATTTGGTAGCAGAGCGTGGTTCATCAGCTTCTATCACACTTCTCCATATCTTTAAACTTCTTAATTCACTTTCAACTCTGTTAGCCCAAATAAGATAATTATCGTCACTTAATTTTTCTATATGACTCAAATTTATCATACGAGGGCCATCCAGGAAGTAGATTACGTTTCCGTCTGTGTCCGCTAGGGGCGGGGCTAGCGCGGCCATCTTGGGGTCAGAGCGTTGCGCAGCTCAGTCTGCATCTAGCCGTGCTAGTGAGAGGTTCGTGCTGTGCTCCGTTCAGATACTGTGACGGTTTGAAATGTCTGCGTTAATTGAAAATCCCGCGAGCTGCGAGGTGCGCTCAGTAATAAGGTTTCTGACTGCAAAAAACTGTAAACCGATAGAAATCTATCGGCAGCTTCGTGAAGTGTATGGGGACAACATTATCACTGAAGGTGGAGTGCGTCAGTGGGTCATAAGATTTCAAAATGGCCGAACCAATGTTCACGACGAAGATCGAAGTGGGAGACCCAGCATAGTGACCGCCGAACTTCTCGAAAAAGTCGATGCTAAAGTCCGTGAAAATCGAAATTTCACAATAACGGAACTTTCTTTGAGTTTTCCACAAATTTCGCGAAGTTTGTTGCACGAAATCATCAGCGAAAAGCTTGGTTACCACAAGTTTTGTGCAAGATGGATTCCAAAAATCTTGACAGAGGACCACAAAAATCAGCGAATGGCTGCAGCGTTGAACTTTTTGGACGCTTACCATAAGGATGGTGACTCTTTACTCGATCGCATCGTTACTGGTGACGAAACATGGGTGAAACATGTGAACTGTGAAACGAAATTGCAATCAATGCAGTGGGGGCACACAAGTTCTCCCCAAAAACCCAAGAAATGCATGCAAACAATGTCGGCAAGGAAGATGATGGCGACTGTTTTTTGGGACAGAAAAGGTGTAATTTTGGTGGACTTCCTGGAAAGAGGCACTACAATAAACTCTCAAAGGTATTGCCAAACTCTCCAAAAACTCAGCAATTCAAAACAAGCGCAGAGGAATGTTGAGCTCTAAGATCTTGTTGATTCACGACAACGCCCGGCCCCACACGGCAAATGTCACTCGTAAAGTTCTTGAATCTTTTAAGTGGGAGTTGTTTCCTCATCCGCCGTACAGTCCCGACCTGGCACCGAGCGACTTCCACCTATTCCCAGCAATGAAGAAGTGGCTGGCTATGCAGCGTTTTGATGACGACGCACAGCTGCAAGAAGAGGTAACGAAGTGGTTGAAGGCGCAGGCGGCCGAATTTTTCGACGAAGGAATTTCCAAGCTCGTACATCTCTACGATAAATGCCTTAATTTGTATGGTGACTATGTAGAAAAGTAGTATTTGAGTGTGGCTTTCATCTGTATATAATAAAATTTGTTTCCTATACTTTGTTTATTTTTTTATTCCAAAACGTAATCTACTTTCTGGATAGCCCTCGTATTACATGCCATATTTTCTAATTTATATTCACTAATTATAATACAAGTCGAATTTATCTCTTAGAGAAATTGGCTATTTTGTTCAATGTTTCTATCTGAAAGTTTATTAACAGAGGCGGCAACCAACTGAACTGGCTGTTCAGTAATGTTCCTCATATGCCGTAGTGTGTGGTCCGCTCTGGCGGCAATTCCAAGGGGATAAATATTTATTTCGTTTTATTATTTTTTCATCGTTGCCGGTTTTCTCGGGGGCATATTTTCGAATTTCTGTTGTCATGGAAAAATCAAATAGTTTCGATTCCATACAATTTGGGAGGAGCCTAAAATGATCATCAGACTCCGAGCATGATAGGTCCTCAAAAAGGATCTCCCAAGGTCCGCTCCAGATGCCCAGTGTGGCCTCATCTTCAAGGGGGCACACTGAAGGCAGGTCGACAGAGGAGGCTGTCGGCCTACAAATTCTGCTGGACCACGTGGCAGGAATAAGGAGCATGCTGGACAGCTCCGCCACATCAGGGGAGGCCCAAAGAGTGCGCCTGCAGCTGAACATGCTGGAAAAGTGAGAGATGTAAAATTTGATGAACAGAAACTTGGATCACCTTTACTAAAATGAGAAAATTTTGCCATCCAATAGTGATGATGAACACGACGATAACAATTCATTGGAAAAGCCAACCGAGTATCTGCAAATAAATGCAGAACCTGGAAATTATGATCGTGGAAATCCTGTACAGAAAAAGACCAGCGCGAATTACGAAGCCCCCAGAAAAATTAAAAGATTATGTAGTGTACAATACAAATGAAGGATTACCTAAGACGTCTGATGAAGCTATAGAATCTGCTGAAATTGAATTCTGGCTACAAGCAATGACAGAAGAATTGAGTTCAATGGAGGCTAATGAAGTCTGGGAATTAGTTGAAAGACCTATCGATAAGAAAGTTATTAAAAACCGCTGGATATTCTCAAAAAGGGATGAAAAGGGTAATTTAGAAACAATTTACAAAGCAAGACTAGTAGCGACTGGATTTAATCAAAGAAAAGGAATTGATTATGAAGATGGATTTAGCCCAGTAATGAGACTTGCAACCTTTAGAACATTACTATCGATTGCAGTTTACAAAAACTACAAAATAAGATTTTTCGATGTAAAAACTGCATATTTAAATGGATACTTGGATAAACCAATTTACATGGAACAACCACCTGGCTTTATATCAGATCCGATCCGAACAAAGTATATCTTGTAAACAAAAGTATATATGGATTACCACAATCAGGAAAATGCTGGTATGATGAATTATGTAAAGTTCTTAAAGAAAAGAATTTAACTAGACTAAAGTCAGATCCGTGTGTTTATATTTATAAAGATAAGATCAAATATTTTATCATAGCAGTATATGTGGATGACTTAATGGTGATTGGAAATTCAAATTCTGAGATAAATGACATCATCTCTCAACTATCTAAATCGTTCACATTACGAGAAGTCACTCAAACACAAAAATTTTTAGGAATAGACATCCGGCAAGAATCTGGAAAACTTATACTCAGTCAAGAAAACTATATAACTAAAATCTTAAAAAACTTTGAAATGGATGAATGTAAACCTATCAAGACTCCAGGAATATTGGGTGAAAATCTTGATGACATAGCATCTTCACCACCTGTGTCGAAGACAAAATATCAAGAAGCATTAGGTTCATTGATGTACTTAGCAACAGGCACAAGGCCAGACTTAGCTTTTGCAGTAAGTAATTTGTCAAGATATAATCAAGATCCCAGAGAGAAACACTGGAAAGCTGTAAAGAGGATATTTAGATATATTAAAGGAACACAAAATACTTGTTTAGTGTATACTTCAGACAATGGGAAATTAAATGCTACATCAGATGCAAGTTGGTGTACCACTGAAGATGGAAAATCATTTGGAGGTTATTTCATTAAATTAGGCAAAAATTTCATAAATTGGAAGTGCAACAAACAAAGAATAGTTGCTCTATCTACAATGGAAGCTGAACTTTTAGCATTCTGCGAATGTGCATGTGAAGTTAAATGGTACATCTTTTTACTTGAAGAATTGGGTCAAGATGATCTAATTGACAAACCAATAGGAATTAAAACAGACTGTCAAGCATTAATAGATTGGATTAAAAAAACAAAACAAAGTAGCAGTTCAAGGCACATTAATAGAAAATATTTCTTTGTTAAGGATGAATAATGAAATGAATCAAATCATTCCTCAGTTTGTGTGTTCACAAAATCAAGAAGCGGATATTTTAACAAAGTATCTACCTAGGGTGAAATTAAAAGATGAACTATTAAAGTATGGACATGACTGACTGATTAAAATTATATCTTTAAATACAAATAAGGGGGGAATTGATAGTATTTGTTTATAAAGCATAATTTTAATTTTTAATATTTTGGCAACATTGAAATTAAATTGTAAAAAGAATGAGTTAAAAATGTATCTGGAAGAGAGAGTTTTTTCATTATTATGGTTTGGTAGAATGTGGTAAGATTTCTTATGTCTGATTTTCTTTAATAAAGTTTTCTTTTTGTATATTGCCATAATGTATTTTTGTTAGAAGTGGATGATTCTTTTGAGAATGTTATATATATGCCAATCTTAAATAACCAACACTCGGTAGCAATGCAAACTAAAATAGGAATACAATTGCTACAGTTCAAGGGTATCTCAATCATTACAATTAAGTCATGCTTGTCAAATTTTTAATTGTTAATTAAAATTTCAGATGTTACTGAAATACATTTTCTAACTTATATTAAGAAAATGATCCTCAGGATTCAAAAGTTTTTAATATAATGTACTTTATTAAATTTCATTTGCATCTTTCTAATAAATGTTAGTTTTTTTTTTTTTAAATGTATTCTTGAATTTACATTTCATTAAATTCAGATTTCAAATTTTGCAAAAAGTTCGATTTTGTGTCAATATAAATCTAATACATATCCTAAGTTGTGCTTTCGAGACATGAAAAACGCAAGGTGAATTTGTCAATCGGCCTAATAGAATAGGAGATATAGAACTGCCCCCTTTTTTTTGGGCGTAGTGTACTTTCTAATATGACTGTTACATTTCCAGTTTTTTTTCATTGTTTATCAGGTTGGTTAACCTCAACTTCGGGTGAGAGAGGTCCTGTTGTGTTTGGAATGTACCATACTCAGCTTATGAAGGAAGGTGGATGTCATTGTGAACTCAAGAACACTGCATATTTGCTTATACAGTCAAAAGTCGTTAATCCGGACCTCTAATCTACAAACTTTCTGCGCATGCGTCAACGCATAATGCGTTAACGCTTGCGCGTTTAATGTATAACGGACGGTATAAGCTAAGCTAAAATTATCTAATTATCTATTTCAGTTAATGTTGCAGATTGCGTTGCTCCTTAATCTTCGAATTGGATCCGGCTTATTATTTTTTGCAGACTGTTAGAGCAAGTTTATAAAAGTAAGTTGAAACTTTCAATTATGTCAAATAGAATTTCCCAGGGGCGTAGCTAGAGGGAGCATCTGTCCCCGGGTGCAGAATCCAAGGGGCGCCAAACTGATGTTACGACATTTTAGAATTAAATGTTTTCTATCCTTGGCAAGCAGTAGGGGGCGCGAAATCTTCAGTTGTCCCTGGGCGCTGAAAACCCTAGCTACGACTCTGGAATTTCCGATGCTGGAGCTGCCAAAGGCATCTACAAAGCGAAAGCATGTTTCGATGTCCATCAAACAAAAAGTGGAATTCCTGCAAAAAATGGATAAAGGCTCCTTTGTTTCTCTAACCCTAACCATTCCGAAATCAGTTTATCAATTTCACGCTGCTCTGCGTTAGGGGGGGGGGAACGCCGCGGCGCGCAATGAACTGGAAGTTGATCTGTCAGCACTATCCTTATCTTCAGGGCAGATGTTTTTATTTTATTCGGCTTATAATTCCTTACTAAATGTAGTATTTCATCTCGATGTACTCCGTCTTTGATATGATTTAAATCAAATTCCTCGTCATTATAAATATCACGAATACACATCAAATAGTTTTCTGGCTGCAATTTTCTAATTTCGGCTATGCGTAATGTATGCTTTACGCATGCGCGCATTGAAAGAAATGTTTAATAAAGTAAACAAATAAATATTAAGCTTGTTTTTTGTAAATTTTGATACCCTTTAGATCATAATTGCTTTTTATTTCATAAATTACGGTTTCATATTTTTAATTTTATAATTTCTGCATGCCATTTTACCATATTTAAACTGATGATCTATAATCCGGAATCGCCGAAGTCCCGACGAGTCCAGATTAAAGACTTTTGACTGTAACACATACATGAAAAACGGCATGTCAGTGATAACTATCCAACGTCTCTTCAGGCAAAAACTTGGCCTCAGTCTTCATGGTGATGTTCCCAGCCGCAATATCATTCTTAAGTGGGTTAATGCATTGTGAACTACTGGTTTTTTAATGAAAAAGAAATTATCTAGCCCCGCCAAAACACTACAGAATGTAGATCGAGTAAGTGAGGAAATAATCCAAAGCCTCGGTCGCTCTGAATGTCTGAAAGCACTGTGCAGAGAATTTTACACAAAGACAAAGGGTTCCACTCGTATAAAATTATAGTAGTCCAACCATAAATGCCTGAAGAGACGTTAGGTAGTTATCGCTGACACGCCGTTTTTCATGTGTGTGTTATAAGCAAATGTGCGGTGTTCTTGAGTCCACAATGACATCCACCTTCCTTCGTAAGCCGAGTATGGTACATTCCGAACACATTCATTTTCCATGATTCACCCCATATGTCTATAACAAAGCACAGTAAAACCTCTCTCATCCGAAGTTAAAGTTAACCAACCTGGTACACAATGTAAAGAAACTGGAAATGTGTCATATTAGAAAGTACACTACTCCAAAAAAAAAAAGTGGGGGGGACCATAATTAGCAGGATTACCTACAATGTCTCACTTTTTGTCAAACAGTGCTGGGCATGTTTGAAGAAAATGAGGATTTGACCATCATAATGAGCGATGAAACCTATTTTCATCTAAATGGGCCAACTGATAAACAAAACTGTAGGTTCTGGGCTTTAGAAAATTCTCTTCGATTACACGAGCGACTACTGAACAGTTCAAACGTGACTGTTTAGTGTAGTATCGTGAGGTGTGGAATTTTCAGGCCTTTCATTTTAAAGAGAACAAAATGATAGTAACATTTACTTCAGACCGCTATGTTAACATGTTTGAAACCCATTTTCTATCTGAGCTTCGTAAACAAGGAATCAATAGGGCATCAGGGTGGTTTCAACAGGATGGGGGCCACTGCCCATACAGAAAGTTATTTCACATTTTGGAGACCTTCCATGGCCTCCATGCTCACCCGACTTTTCCATGTGTGATTTTTATCAATGAGGATTCTTGAAATTACGCATCTACTAAGTAAACTACGCATGCTGGAAGAATTGAAGACTGCAATACATACCAAAATTGATGAAGAAACTTTAGCAAGAGTAGATGCGAGCTTTAGAGTGACTTCAAACTTCAAGACATTTGTCAGATATACTTTTTCCCTCATAAGCATTACATAATGCCATAATTTAGTGCTTGAATCTATGGATTTTTTTTTTTTTTTTTTTTTTTTTTTTGGTTGTTGTTTTTGAAAAGTCTACAGAGTATGCTTTCCAGAATAACAAGTGTTTTCCGTGACTTCAAAAAATTAAATGGAATTTGCTGAAAATGAGTGGCATTTATGGAAGCAATAACAGGAAACAGATGACACTTTTACATATTGTAAGTCAGTGGTGTGCATAAAAGCACAGTGATAAATGAAAGTTTGGATAACCATCAAAGTATTACAAAATAAAACTCAATAATTTTCAATTAAAAAATATTACATACAGGGTGGATCAGTACAGAGTGACAAACTTTCAGGTGAGATAGAGTACAGCTAGACTATGGGAAATCACAATAGGAATGCATAGTTGGAAATGCATGGTTGGAAGGAAAGAAACAGTGAGACAAAGCATGCCTCACTTCTCCGGCACATGGGAAGATCTGCATCACAAACGGAAGACGCATGACGGTCCGGGTTGTAATTTCGAACACCTTCTTTGACGATGATCATTGTCTCTTCATGTATGCTGTTTTTTCTTTGTTTTTGTTGTACTTCGAATAATAAGCACGTTTTCTCAATCCATTTGTGTTTTTTCTTTCTTGACCTTTGTGTAGTCACTATCGCACCAGGAAAGCGTTTCCGACCATGCATTCCTAAGTGATTTCCCATCGTATAGAAGTACTCTATCTCTCCTGAAAGTTTATCACCACTGTACTAATACACCCTGTATATTTCACTTATGTGCTAAAGAATCTCAATGATCATCTGACTAGCATATCCCCCTAATCAATACTTTTTCTCCGTTCTAAAAAATGAAAACAAATTGAATGTAATTAAACAAAACAGGTGATTTGAATGCTTTGAAAACTTTTAAGGGGAACTGGCTTGCATTTATTATATTAGGGAAAAGCATAAAAACATGCATGTAGATACGAATAGTTGCTGAATCCAGGATGTAATTATCAGTGTTAAAATGTTTCAACTCAGCTGTTATCTAGCCTTAGGGAAAATGATTTAACTGATAAAGTATGCTATCGAAATCAGCAGACAGTAGTACTGCCTCATAAGCAGAAAATACAGTAGAAGAAAAAAAAAATCTGAAGTAGAAGGTCAAGATGGAGAAGTAATTACTTTAACTCCGTTGCCAATTGTTAAAGGTGAAACTATACATTTATTAAGAAGGATAGGAATTACTTTTGAAAAAAAAAAAAAAAAAAATCATAATATACGAATTTTAGGTTCTAATAAATGTTTAGGATTAAGAACTTTGAATGAAAACAGTATTCTTAATCTGCGTGGAATCACATTGCTCTGAAAAATCAAAAATTTGTTTCTTCATTATAATGCATCTAAAAATCAACAGCATATTTCTTTTTCTTTCTCGTGAAGCATAATAGGAATTAATTAGTATGAAGCTAAATAAACAAAAGGCAACCTTTAATATTTAAAATGTTTAACCAGTCACAAAATTAATATAATTGTATTTTTTATGCAACTTTTAATTTCTAACTAAAATAAAAAAAAGATACTTATAGAAAGCAAAGAACCTAATTCATATTCTTTTTAATACACATACAATTTTTTATTTACAAACCACAATTATTCAATTCATAAAATTTATAGTTAGGCAATTTCAGGAGCCCAATTTAAAGATATATACACAAAATTTCCAGCTTCATTCAATGATGCTAATACAACAGTTTTCTTCACTTGATGGTTTAGTCTACCATATATAACAATATCAGTAGCTTGAAATTCAGTTGTACTAGTTATACAGATCACAATATATAAAGCATGATACACTGACTACCAATAAGTATTTGGACACCTATGGAAATGACGATATCTGCGGTCCTAAGGTACGTCACGGATTCCGCCGGTATATATTGTGTAGGAAACAGCATCGGCTTTAGTCGCATGCAAGATGCCTCGCAGTTCGGAGCTCTCTGATTTCGAGAAAGGTATATTTATCGGGTATTACAAATGTGGCCGATCCTTAAGGGTATAAAAATATTACATGGATATTTTTATACCCTTAAGGATCTAGCGATCTGAAGTACCCAAAATCGACAGTGGCCTATGTGATTAAGAAGTGGAAGGTGAGCGGTGATTGTCGGAATGGGCCCCTAGTCGGCAGACCAACAAAACTGGGAGATAGAGACAGAGGAGTGTCCAGCGAAATTCGGAAGAGCCGCACCCAACCGATGGCCCTCATCCGCGAGGAGTTTCAACAATCATCGGGAGTATTGTTTCAATGAATACCATCCGTAAGGAAGCACATCTGCTTGGTTTTCATGGTCGTGCTGCTGCCCATAAGCCTTTGATCACAATGTCCAACCGCGCTGCTCGGTTAATGTGGTGCAAAGCACATCGAAATTGGACCGTAGATCAGTGGAAACGGGTTCTTTGGAGTGACGAATCAAGGTATACCCTTTACGGTACGGATGGCAGGGTCTGGGACTGGCGTCTACCTGGAGAACGTCTCCTGCCAGAATGCATTGTGCCAACAGTCAAGTTCGGCGGAGGTGGAATTATGGTCTGGGGGTGTTTCTCCTGGTATGGGCTGGGACCCTTGGTCCCCATTCATGGTAAGCTCAACTCCGATACCTACTGCACTATTCTGGATGACAATGTGCTTCGTATGTTGTGGCAGTTTTACGGGTTGGACCCCTGTTACTTTCAGGACGACAATGCCAGTTGTCATGTTTTGACGTTAACTGAGGCTTGGTATGGTGCCAATGGAGTTCATCAAATAGACTGGCCTGACCAGAGTCCAGACCTGAACCCTATCGAGAACCTCTGGGACGAGTTGCATCGCCGAATTCAGGGGTGCACTACCCGTGGAAAATCGGTGAAGGAACTGCTATGTCTTCTCCAAGCCGAGTGGAAGAAAATACCACTAGCTGTCATACAAAGACTTGTGGAAAGAATCCCCCGGAAGGTCCACGCTGTAATTACCTCTTGTGGAGGTTCTACCAACTATTGATTTTGAATAAAATTAGTTTTTCTTTTCTATCACAGGTGTCCAAATACTTATTGGTAGTCAGTGTATTTCAGAGGATCACCTAAATGGAAGAAGAAATTGGAAAACTTTTAAGGGGAATTGGCTTGCATTTATTATACAGTCCAAAGTCGTTAATCCGGATTCGTCGGGACTTCGGCGATTCGGATTATCGATTTTTCCGGATACTAGATCATCAGTTTAAATCTCGTAAGATGGCATGCAGAAATTCTAAAATTAAAAATATGAAACCGTAATTCATGAAATAAAGAACAATTAGGATCTAAAGGGTATCAAAATTTACAAAAGAAAAGCTTAATATTTATTTGTTTACTTTATTAATCATTTCTTTCAATGTAAGTTGTTTAAGTTGCTTCGTTTTATGTGATAATACTTTCTCTTTAATTCTATAAACAGACATAATTTCTTGTTCATTTACAAAGTTCCGCTGTTCAAGTCCCGTAATTGCTGTGCCGAGAATACCGACTAACTTGTGAATCGAAATTTTTTCGTTTTCACTAACCTCTCTGTCACCTTCTTCATGTCTTTTATCCATTTTTTGCAGCAATTCCACTTTTTATTTGATGGACATCGAAACATACTTTCGTTTTGTAGATCCTTTGGGAGCTCCAACATCGGAAATTCTATTTGACATAATCGAAAGTTCAAGTTTACTTTTATAAAATTGCTCTTACAGTCTGCAAAAAATAATAAACCGGATCCAATTCGAAGATTAAGGAACAACGCAATCATCAACATTAACTGAAATAGATAATTAGATAATTTTAGCTTATACCGTCCGTTATACATAAAACGCGCACGCGAAAACGTATTCTGCACTTGCGCACACGCATATGCGCAGTCGTAAAGGTCTTACGCGCACGCGTAAACGCCTATGCGCATGTGTCAACGCGGCGCATGCGCAGAAAGTTTTTAGCTTTGAGGTCCGGATTATAGATCATTCCGAATTATGGGTGTCCGAATTAACGACTTTTGACTGTATTAGGGAAAAGCATAAAAACATGCATGTAGATACGAATAGTTGCTGAATCCAGGATGTAATTATCAGTGTTAAAATGTTTCAACTCAGCTGTTATCTAGCCTTAGGGAAAATGATTTAACTGATAAAGTATGCTATCGAAATCAGCAGACAGTAGTACTGCCTCATGAGCAGAAAATACAGTAGAGGGAAAAAAATCTGAAGTAGAAGGTCAAGATGGAGAAGTAATTGTTAAAGGTGAAACTATACATTTATTAAAAAGAATAGGAATTCCTTTTGGAAAAAAAAAAAAAAAAAAAAAAAAAAAAAAATCATAATATACAAATTTTAGGTTCTAATAAATATTTAGGATTAAGAACTTTGAATGAAAACAGTATTCTTATTCTGCGTGGAATCACATTGCTCTGAAAAATCAAAAACTTGTTTCTTCATTATAATGCATCTAAAAATCAACAGCATATTTCTTTTTCTTTCTCCTGGAGCATAATAGAAATTAATTGGTATGAGGCTAAATAAACAAAAGGCAAGCTTTAATATTTAAAATTTTTAACCAGTCACAAGATTAATATAATTGTATTTTTTATGTAACTTTTAATTTCTAACTAAAATAAAAAAAAAAGATACTTATAGGAAGCAGAGAACCTAATTCATATTCTTTGTAATACACACACAATTTTTTATTTATAAACCACAATTATTCAATTCATGAAATTATTATACAGTTAGGCAATTTCAGGAGCCCAATTTAAAGATATATACACAATATTTCCAGCTTCATTTAATGATGCTAATACAACAGTTTTCTTCACTTGATGGCCTAGTCTGCCATATGTAACAATATCAGTAGCTTGAAATTCAGTTGTATTAGTTATACAGATCACAATATATAAAGCATGATATTTCAGAGGATCACCTAAATGGAAGAAGAAATTATGATTCCATTAAGAAGACTTATAAAACAACAAAAGAAATTATAGGCTTCAATGAATTTTTTATACTCTGTATTATAAAAAATATTCAGACACCATTTCAGTTTTAGGTCAAATGATTTTATTTTGTCAATTAATATTTAATTTGTCCATAAAGGAAATACATCAAGGCATGCTGTCAACCAAGTTCTACAAGAATCCAATAAAAAAGAATCACCTTTTACTTAGAAAGATGCTTGAAATAGGGACAAAGATCTTGGTATGCTCAGTTTTGCAGCCATTACTCTATTTCATCTTACAGATGTTCAGAGAGATAAAAGTCATAAATCTGGGATAAAAAGACAATTTAACCACTTGTGCTACGACTAAACTTCACGGTTGCAGTGCTGTGCGCTACAATATAACAAGCAGTAAAGTGTCTCATTTATGGTGCTCGGCATCTGCGAGTGCAATACATAGCTGTAACTGGAGAAATAAACAATCTCGTTGTTATGCAATGTGTGCAGCACGTTATTTTCGTTTTTGCGACAAATGCCTATTGACGTGCATGGCACGTCTTTTTAGCGCAAGTGGTTAACAATCTCATTTTACTATTAAAACATCAACCTGAATATGTTATGCAATGTAATAATGATATTGATAGAAGAGACATTGATAGCATAGCTAAATTGCCATTGGTACATATAATAATTTTGTTCATCATTTTAGGCAAAGTAACTACAAGGGTAAGCTCTATCTCTTAAAAACAATTTAATATAACAGAACTCCTACTGATTAAAATGGGAAATGATGTGGGCTCAGCCTGAATTTGACTAAAGAACACCACAAAATTATGGGAAAACATCACTAATATTGAGTTATTATACTAAACTACAATTCATTTATATGCAATAAAATTATAAGAAATATCGACACTATGTTAAAGGTCTGCATGCTAGATGGTGCTTATTCATTACAAAATTCAGTTACAGTTACAAAGCAATTTCCCAAATTAACAGAACAGTTTAGTAGGAAAAAAAAAAAAAAAAAAAAAGAGGTTGGTGGCTTTTGCCAATTTCATTAGACTGGTAAAATACAAATTGTGGCAGGAATTTCCTCTTTGTTTGACAAGAGAAATGCTGTTTAACACTATTGAAAAATGTAGGGCCAGATTAAAAAACTTCTAAAATGCACTACAGACCGAAAAAAAGAGTTATGACATACACTGCCTGCCAAGACATCACTTTATAATCGGTTCCAAGTTAAAAAGTGTTCCTGAGCCTGAAGTTACAAATGAGAAAATGCCCGTCTGTGAACGGTGGAAATTAGTCCCACAGATTTCCCAATCGTTTTGGAAATTGTGGCCAAAAGACTACTTGACTCAGTTGCAAATGCGCAACAAGTGGAAACTTCCCAGTGCTGATTTACGTGTGAATGACTTGGTAATAATTAAGGACGAAAATTTGCTGCCACTTAGTGGAAAATGGCAAAAGTAATTTACTCTTATAAAGGAACTGACAAAAGAGTAAGGTCAGTCAACTTAAAACTGTTTCAGAAAAGACCAATACATAAACTAGTCAGACTTCCTGTACATGACTGATTGATTTATTTTTTTCATATTTTATATTTGTATTTCTAGTTGAACTGATGATGTCATGACATCCACTGCCCTCCGAGAGATGGTGCTGGATAATTTTTCTTGTTTTTTCTGTATTGTATGTGTAGTGAGTAGGAATAAATGTCTTGTCCTGAATGGCGGTGTTGATTTTTTAATGAGTGTGGAGTGCAATTTTCGTACCCCTTTACAAAAGAGGTGAACATTTTTTGGTGTCAGGAGTGGGGTACGGTGAGAATAAGGTGGTGATAATGTGTATTGTCAAATTTTGTGTAAAAAAAATTGTGTGGTGATTTGACGATATGTGTTGCGTGGAAATCGAAAGTGAAGATGATGGTTCCACTGTGAAGATTATGGTGAGTAGTTATTTCGGTTTGTTGACATAATATTTAGTGTTAAATCCTGTTTATTAGTGTTGTGTATTGAGGTGTTCCTACCTGATAATTTGAGCTGATAGTGTCTGTGTTGAGTTTGATGTGTTCATTTTTGTGCTCATTGTGTTATAATTGTCAAGTCAGGGTTGTTGTATTTTTCTTTGAATTAAGATGAGTCTGAAGTTGCTTAAATCATTAAAAAAAGATAAAAAGATGTGTGGCGGAGGAGTCAAGATTAGTAATTCTGAGCGGGAGAAAATTGTTACTTTGAAAACTTTAATAGAAATTTCAGAAGTTTATGTAAATTATGCTGAATTTGTGCAAAATGTTATTGATAATATTCTAGAGGAAAAGAAAATGCAAAGTGAGAAACAAAAATTGGAAAACGAAATTAGATGAGAGTTAGAGAAAATACAAATCTAAAAACGTACTAGAGTTAGAGAAAATAAAAATTCTCAGTTAGAAGCGGAATTAGCTTTAGCTAACACTAGGAAAGACATACTACAAAATCTAAATGTTGAGACGGACACCGACACCTCAAATTTAATTAAAGTGTAAAAATATTAACAATTTCTGTACCTACTAAAGCAGAATCCTTTAAGCTTTCTTTCCAATCAATTGAAAGGGCTTTTACAAAACAAGTACCTGAAGATTTAAAAGCAGAAATCCTATTAAATATTTTGGGAGAGAAGGTCACTAATTTAATGGTTTATGCGAAGGAAGAAGATATAATAATTATGATAAACTAAGCCCATAATTTTAAAGGAATTTCAGCCAACTCCTCAAGAGCCCTTAAATCCTTTTCGTTCTATGCAAAAATTGTCATCTGAGAACTTTGTACAATTTGCATCAAGGTTAAGTGCATATTTTGAATATTTTTGTCAGTTGAGACATGTAAAAAATTTTAAATCGTTATATGATCTTATGGTTTCGGATAAAATATTCAGTAAACGTGATCGTGAATTGATGACCCATATAGCAGTTAAACAGGGACAAATATGGTTCGAACCCCAAACATTAGGTCATGAATGCAATATTTACTTGTCATCAAAAGGTAAACAGAAACCAAAATCCCTTTTTGCAAAATCATTTGCAGGTAACGATAATAAAATAGGCAATGGTGTGGCTTTCAGTAAATGAGCATGTTGAAATTATTTAACAAAATAACCTTTGTTTCAAATGCTTTTTTTAAGAGTGTAATGTGAAAAAGTGTAGAACCAGAAATTGTTTCTGAGGGAAGGCTCATCATTCTAAGTTTCATTTCGCTAAGCAAAATAAAGCTCTTTAGAAAGTAGAGAACGGTGGCACTGAACAAACTCAGTGCAATACTTAATTGTCAAGGTCAAGCCCAATATATAAATCATCTGTGCTGTTACTCACTTGCAGTGTATATGTTCGCTCTGTTGCTAAAACAAAATTCAATAAAACGAAGCGAATTTTATGCAAAGGCTCTGAAAGAAGTTGGTGTACGAAGTCCCTTGCAAAGTGCTTAAAACTATAATTAGTATATTCAAAATAAAGTGCTAGTGGCCAATACTATTACAGCAGCATCTCTTTCTGTTCCAAATGACTAAGTACAAAATATTATGCAGTCCCGCAGATTAGACTTAGCCGAGTGCTGTGACAGTGATATAAACATTGAGATATTAATTGGGGCAAATGTGTTTTGGCAGATTATTCAAGCCTCTTGTTTCGAAAAAATAAACCAGGAAATTACTTGCGTGCCAACGATTTTAAGGTTTGCTTTACAGGGAAGTCAAGTTGTTAGCAAGCCATATGTTAAGACTGCATTTTCAGCGAATTTTTGTGTAGCTGCTTCAGATGTTCAGGTATTGTGGGAGCTTGATGCTTTAAGAGTTAAAGCAAAAGAAGAGTTAAATGTAGTTGATAAAGCATTGATAGATATTTTTGAGAAAAATTTTAAATTCATAAATGTGAGATATGAAACTGATTTATTATGGAAGTTTAGCTACGATGAATTAGAAAATAATCAATTTTTAGCTAAAAAGCAGTTTGATGAGTTAGGAAAGGATTTTTTAAAAAAATGATTGAGTTGCTAATGAGTACAGGGAAATAATAAATGACCAAAACCAAAATGGAGTTATTGAGATATGTGAGAGAGATGAGCATGAGTATTTTATGCCTCATAGAGCAGTTGTTAGGGAAGATGAAACAACCAAAGTTCATATAGTCTTTAACTGTAGTTAAAAAATCTAAAGGTAATCTTAAGTGATTGTTTCTAAATTGTCCCAAATTTAAATCCAAATATTCTTGATTCTAAAATTTCGTAGTTATAAAATAGTGTTTAAATGGTGATATGGAGAAAGCTTTCTAAATGACAAAAATTTTTGAAAGAGATAGGAAATTCTTAAAATTTCTTTGGTACTCAGATAACCCTAGTGAAGAATATAAAATTATGAGAATGAAAAAGACTACCATTTGGATGTAAAAGTTTCCCTTTCATTTTGAGTGCTACAATAAAGCATCATATATATATATATATATATAAAGAGAGAAAAGTAAACCAAAGTCATTTGCAAATTTGATTTCGTCACTTTACGTAGACGATTTATATTATGGTGGAGTCAGAGTGAGAGAATCAGAGTGAGAGAATCATTAAGTTGTCATTGGATGCTGTATCAATATTAAAGAGTGGTCGATTTAATTTGAGGAAACTGAGGTCGAGCAGTAAAGAATTAGAAAAATTGCAGATAGAAAATGGATTTAGTGTCAGCGAGATAGTGGTAGTTCAACAGCTGAAAGTCCTAGGGTTGAATTGGAATCCTGAGAGAGATGAGCTATCATTGGAGGTGAAGGGTTTGGTGGATTCGTAGAAAATACTGTGATGCACTAAAAGATGTGTTTTACAAACAGCTGCAAGAATCTTTGATCCTATTGGTTTGAGTGCACCATTTGTGATATGGATAAAGTTATTGTTGTTACAGGAAATTTGGGAGAGAGTGTGTGATTGGGACGAAGAATTGCCGAAGGACTTGCAACAAAGTGGATAATGTGG